ACTTTAGGTTAAGAGTTCAAGAACAACGTGGCCAACATGATCAAACCCATCTCCACTAAAAACACAAAAATTAGCTCATCTTGGTGGTGGGCGCTTGTAATCCCAGCTACTAACTAGGGAGGCTAGGGCAGGAGAATCACTTGAACCCAGGAGGTGGAGGTTGCAGTGAGCCAAGATCACGCCCCTGCAGTTCAGTCTGAGTGACAGAGTGATATTCCATCTAAAAAAAAAAAAAAAAAAAAAAGCCAATAAAACAAAATTGAGACAGGATGAGGGCCAGCTTCTGTGCTGACCTATCAGCTCTGTCTCCTGGCCACATGCAAGCTGAAGCAACCATTTTGGCTGCAAGCGATAAATTCAGGCTGGGCTGCACTCACTCAGGGCCTTTTATGACGCTGTATTTCTTCCATTTCAAGGATTCAGACACACACACACTCAGTCCATTCTTTCCTTGATTGATTTTAGTAATACAATTAAATGGCTACTCTGTTTTATTTTGAATATTGGGGTTATAGTAGTAGACAAATCACAGTTCTCCATGAAACATTCAGGAATTCAGGTTTATGAGGTGTAGGTGGGCATATGACCTGGCTTGTCCCTCAATAACACTTAGCCACTCATTCAATGACTGGTTCAGAAATGTATCTTGGATGGGATTTCCCAAAAACAGAGCCTGAGGCAGGGATTCAAATAATGCTCTCAGAGAATCCTGTAAGGGAGAAAGATAAAGAAGGGGAAGGAGCCAGGTAACGACTTAGTGTCAGGTAAAATTCAGACTTGGCTTAGTTTTGCATGTGGAGAGAGAAGCTTGCCTCTGGAACACAAATTACACTACAGAATTGTTTCTGCCTTGATGCAAGGACGTTAGCCTTTTAAGTAATTTCATATCTATCAGTCATTAGTCTATGTATTGAGACAGTGTAACCTCCCAGGCATCCCTAGGCTGGGAGGGTTTGTACAGCCAAAAACACATCTTAAAAACCAAGGTCACAGGTTTAAACTGCTGGCCACAGCCTCAAAATAACTGCAGGAAATGGGGGAGGAGGTACGGAATGGAAGGGGTGTGCCAGCTGATAAAGGGGATCTGAGTGGAGAGTCAAAGCATCCACTACTGCATGTGTCCCAACCAAGCTAATCTTGAACAATGAGATTTAATTCTGCAACTTTTTCTGGAACCATCGGGGAAAATAATCTTTCCTTTTGCTCACCACGAAAGTAGTAGGATGCCTGCCTGCAGTTGCTTGAACCCGTTTTAGGAACAGCCAACTGAGAAGAAAAAAGAGTAATATAGAGAGACGGAGTCGCGGTGACAGTGACTCTAATTTGTCTTCTTTTCTCTGCACACCAGTTTGTCCTGCACCTCAATGTGTCCAATTCCCTTCAGAACCCATGAGTTTAACCTAGCTGGGCCTGTACTCAGTAGTCACGAAATCAGTTCTCTTGCTTTGGAGGAGAAATTAAGTGAGATTGAGGTGACAGAAGATCAAGGATTAGAATCCAAATCTCGTATTGACTTGTGAGTCAAGCCGATGGCATGTTCCAGAGCACCAGGCTGCCCTAGTTCTTGGAGGGAACTTAAATTCTTTTGCCAGGGAAACATTATTTATTTTATAAGGCCAGCCACACTGTAAAAGAAACACAAACAGAAATCTTGCCTGGTGATTGTCCAATACATCCCAGTTTATGGAGCATTTTCACATCTGGGGTGTCCTTCAAGACTCCCAACAGCTTTGGAGGCACTAAGTCCTGTGCCTCTGCTACTTCTCCTTGGGATGTCGGAATGATCACATGTTCCATTCAAAACAGAATTAGGACAGGATGAGGGCCAGCTTCTGTGCTGACCTCTCAGCTCGGCCTCCTGGCCACATGCAAACTGAGAGCAGCCCTTCCCAGAGGCTGCAGCTGCGCATGGTGAGTGCAGGTTGGGCTGCATTCACTCAAGGCCCTTGTTGGCACTGTATTTTTTTCATTTCAAGGAGCCAGCAGGCTAGGGGCCAGAGAAGATCCCATCCAGAAATATGAAACATATGCTTCACTGCTCCATTGCTGCTGTCACGAAGACCAAAGAATTAACTATCAATGAATTTCTTCTTTCCTTTTTTTTTTTTTTTTTGGGAACAGAGTCTTGCTGGAGTGCAGTGGTGCAATCTCGGCTGTTTGCAACCTCTGTCTCCTGAGTTCAACCAATTTTCATGTCTCAGTCTCCAGAATAGCTAGGACTACAGGAATGCACCAAAATGCCCAGCTAACTTTTAGTATTTTTAGTAGAGATGGGGTTTTGCCATGTTGCCCAGGCTGGTCTTAAATGCCTAAGCTCAAGCAATCCACCTGCCTTGGTCTCCTACAGTACTGGGATTACAGGTGTGAGCCACCGCGCCCAGCCATAAGTGATTTTCAAGAAGAGGACAAGCATAGTGCCAGAATCAAAGGTAGAAGGGAAACAATCATTTATTTATTTATTTATTTTTGTAACAAAGCCTTGCTCTGTCTCCCAGGCTGGAGTGTAGTGGTGTCATCATTCCTCACTGCAGCCTCAAATTCTGGGGCTCAAGAGATCCTTCTACCTCAAATTGAGACTGCAGAGTTGCACAAAGCACTGCAATTACAGGCATGAGCCATCGTGTCCTCGCCAGAAACCACCGATTTTTTTTTTAATTACAAAGTGCAAATTTGAAGAATCTATAAAATTTCAAGCTCTCGGTCAGCTGGCTACTTTTGAGTGACCCTTCTTTCCCTTCTCCATAACCCAAGTTTGAAACTGTTATTCCTGAGAAATATCCTCCAAATACTGGTGACATTTTTGTGAGACTATTCAGTGATGCATTAGAAATTAGAATAGAACTTTAAATTTTTGAAGTTAGGATTTCCAACTGAATTTTTATTTTTCATAAATATGATGCCAAAGGCTATCTCCTTGCAGCTAGACAGCTAGGCTGTCTGGCTCAGGTGAGTTTCCCCTTTGTGAATGTCATAGACATGGCGATATGCCACTCAAATCCCCTTCAATGAAGGATTATTGCCCCAACTGCTGGGAGTGGTATTGGCAGAGATAGTCTTCAATCATCAGCCCCTTCAGAGATTTTCTCATTTAAAGAGATTAACCTCTCTCAAAGTCATAGTCTTGACTGGGCACGGAGGCTCACCCCTGTAATCCCAACACTTTGGGAGGCAAAGAGGCTGGATCACCTGAGGTCAGGAGTTCAATTCCAACCTGGCCAACATGGTGAAACTGCATCTCTGCAAAAAATACAAAATTAGCCAGGTGTGGTAGCACATGCCTTGAATGCCAGCTATTCAGGAGGCTGAAACAGGAGACTCACTTGAGCCTGGGAGGCGGAGGCTGCAATGAGCTGCGATCGTACCACTGCATGCCAGCCTGGCAACACAGAGGGAGACTTTCTCAAAAAAAAAAAAAAAAAAAAATTCTAGCTAGATAAGGTCCCTTGAATCTTTCAGTCAAAACTTAGTTTTCGTTAAAAACATCAACAAGTATCAAAATAACCTACCAGCAAACTAACTTTCTCTCTATGATTAGGAGAATTGAAAGTTATTTTAAAGAGGAATATTTTTCTCTCTCTGATTCAGAGTAACTTCACGACTTGTTTTTGTAATACCTGAGATCACTTCACATTCCACACTTGCAAAAACACCATGCTTGGTAATGTACATTCCCCCAAAAGATGTTTGGGTTGACGTGCTGTTACTTGGTCCAGCCGCCTTTCTTCCCGTGTTCCTGCTTGTAGGTGGAGAGGCGCAAGAGTCTCTCTCACTGCCTGAAGAGGTGTATAATTAGCTGACACAAACTAGCCCACTCTAAGCACTGATTGACAAGCAGTGTCATAGGCAATTCGTTTCTTTTCTCTTTGTGATCCGCCTGCCTCAGCGTCCCAAAGTTCTGGGATTACAGGAGTCAGCCACTGCGCCCAGCCAGACAATTCATTTCTTATGGAAAAAGTATAGATTTTGTTTAAAAAGGCAACGTGTGTTAAGTTAAAGTAACATCGTAAAGTTGAAGTTGCAACAACTGTTTCACAAATTCATTGGCTGCTGGCCCTTGCAGCCATGTCCTCCATTTGATGATGGGGTCACGTTTTTCACACGCCAGTTTTATTCTAGTTGCCTGTTAACAGTTGAGTAACAGCAAACATTCTGTTCACTCTGTCTTCCTTATATCTCTCTAATTAATTGCTTTTAGAAATGTGAGTGGAGGCCGGGCCCGGTGGCTCATGCCTATAATCCCAGCACTTTGGGAGGCCGAAGCGGGTGGATCACGAGGTCAAGAGATCAAGACCATCCTGGTCAACATGATGAAACGCCGTCTCCCCTAAAAATACAAAAATTAGCTGGGCATGGTGGCACGGCCTGTAGTCCCAGCTACTCAGGAGGCTGAGGCAGGAGAATTGCTTGAACCCAGGAGGCGGAGGTTGCGGTGAGCCGAGATCGCGCCATTGCACTCCAGCCTGGGTAACAAGAACGAAACTCCGACTCAAAAAAAAAAAAAAAAAAAGAAAGAAATGTGAGTGGAAATATTTTCTAATTTCTACCTTTAAATTTATTGTGTAAATACTGCTTAGCAACCTTTTTTTCACTGTAAAACTCAAATATTTAATGCAACACCATAAAGTGTAAAAAGACAAAGTCGTAATTAGAGAAATCCTTGTGGCAGATAGTTGTGACAAAATTTCCCCGTTTCTACTTCATGTTGGTTTGGCATCTGGTGCAGACTGGAAATCCAATGAAGACAGAGTTGTCTCCTCTCTAAGGATCTTAATACCTCAGCCAGAGAAGCAACTATCAGTCTTCTGGGCTGAGGACTGTTCTTCCTCCTCTGGCTTTGTCCATGTCATTCTCCACAGTATAGGAGGCTTCCCAAAGAAAACTAACTTTTAACATGTATCAGTGAATATGGCAACTGTCTCACCTGTGCAGTTCCTGTCAAGGGGCAAAGCAGAGGAGCCAACCTACCCCATTCCCACCCCAGCATAGATTTACTGTTCCATTGGAGCTGGGTTCTTGACTGCTAAGTTGTCCTGCCATTGCTCATGACCCATAGCTACAGTCATTTGTGCTGGCCTCAGTCCACTTGTGGACCATTCTTCTTGTGGGCTCTTGCTCTGGTGCCTCCTCAAATAAGTCTCCTCCCCCTCTATTAGTTATTTGATTGAGAGAAAAAAGAAGAGCTCCATCTGATTAGAGAAAATAATTACTTGTAATTATAAAACACATGATCAAATATTATTGAAAGAAGTGCTTGCCATGGTTCTAGCTAGAACATGACTCTATCCACCACCAAACAAAAAAGAAAAGAAAAGGAAAGAAAGGTCTGATCCTCTTCTTGTTCATTTCAGTAAATGGTATGACTCTCCATCAAGTTGCACCAGTCAGAAATTTCAGAGTAATTCGTATTCAATCAATTATCTTGTCTCTTGGAGGTGATTGTCAATTATTTTGTCTCTTGGATTTTGTCACTGCCAAATTATCACTTAAAGAGACTTTTTGATGTCTCTGCCACTACTAATCTTGTCTTTTCCATTCTAGCCTAAACTACTCATGAGATCTTTGTACATCTTCTCTGGTCTATCTCTGATCCACTGTCCACACAACAACTAGTGATCGTTGTAAATCTGATCAAATCATTCTTCTGTTTACAACCCTTTAATTGTCTCTGATTGTTCTTAGAATAAAGATCAAAATGATAATTACAAACATGGTCAGGCTCATTCCTGACATCTACCAGGCTGAAATGAGAACACAAATAGAGGCTGACATACTAAATTTTTAAATATTTAAAAGTTTTAAAGCAAGCTGATGAAGAAATTTTAAGATATGTAATATCCTTCTATTTTGACAAACATATCTTCATAACTCCCTATAAGGCCAGGTTTGCATTTACAATTCTCAGACCCAAAGTTTCTAGTTTGGGAGAGATGAACCCCAAGCTCTGGCTCTTACGTTTCTCATCATACCAAGTTCCATTCAGCATCACAGGGACCTCACTTACGCATGTGTGCTCACCCAACTCTGCATATTCCACATCCCTGATAAATAGCTGCCCTTTAGACAACTTTTGGGCCCAGGAGTATGCATATCAGTAACCAGGTCCACACTCAAAAGAACAGGACATGAAAGAGGGTTGCACAGGCCCTGGAAGCAGGCTCAGAGACATTTGGGCTGGGAATTTCAGGGAACCCAGAATGTGTTCTAGAAAGAAGGGTGACGCAGGTTTCAGACGGGCATGTCCCCTTGACATTGTGAATTCCTCACCCAATGACAAGCGAGTGGCTGGAGAAGGGCCAGAGTGGACACAGTGCTTTGTGCATTCTCCCATGGCTTTCTGCCTTCTCTCCATACTGGCCTTCCTTTAATTCCTTTAATGCTCCAGGTTCCTTACTGACAAGGGCCTTTGTACAAGTGGTCCCCTACTTTAGCAATCCATCTTCTTCCGATGTCAGCCAAAGCATTTTGTCTTTGAAGTTGCCTTTCTGATAATCCTCGCATTAGTCAGGTGCCCCAATTATGTAGCTTCATAGAATCCTGTACTTTTCATAGCACCTATAACAATTAATATAACAGAATACTTACTATATACCTAGTATTTATATAATTAGTCATTTATCTATAAGAAGTTATTATATAATTAACTGTTTAGTGTGTTTATCTTCTGTTAGAATATAAATCTCTAAGGGGGCAAGGACTGTGTCTTGTGCATCTTTGTCTTCCTAACATGTAATATGGTGCTTTACATATAATAAACACTTAAATATATTTGTTAAATAAATGACTTATGGGAACTCTCCATTCTCAGGTTCTCCCTGACTTCTACGAGAAGGGAAATTCCTTTTAGTACTCACGGTGTATCTTGGTCTCAGTCTCTGGGAAGGCACGTACAGATTCTTGGAGACTGACACTAGCTGGAGTCCTCATGGACTTTGGTCTGATGGTCCATTTCCAATTCTAGATGTCTGATTATGGCATATATACTTAGTGACCATTCATTTAAAAGGATCATTGATTGTTTTAGCCTTAAGTTATAATCTTCTCAGATGTGAAAATTAGATGCAATTTTTTTTTTTTGAGACAGAGTCTGGCTCTGTCGCCCACGCTGGAGTGCAGTGGCATGATCTTGGCTCACGGCAACCTCGACCTCTCGAGTTCAAGCAATTCTCCAGCCTCAGCCTCCCGAGAAGCTGGGATTACAGGCATGGGTCACCACACCTGGCTAATTTTTGTGTTTTTAGTAGAGGCAGGATTTCACCATGTTAGGCTGGTCTCAAACTCTTGGCCTCAAGTGATCTGCCCACCTTGGCCTCCCAAAGTGCTGGGATTACAGGGGTGAGCCACTGCACCCAGCCGCAATTACTATTATTACTATTATTTAGATAGGGTCTCACTTTGTTGTCCAGGCTATAGTACAGTGGCTCAATCACAGCTCACTGCAGCCTCGACTTCCTGGGCTCAGGTGATTCTATCACCTCAACCTCCCAGGTAGCTGGGACTACAGCTGCACACCACCACACCCAGCTAATTTTTTTTCTTCTTTTTTGGTGGAGATGGAGTCTTGCCATGGTGCCCTGGCTGATCTCAAACTCCTAAGCTCAAGCGATCTGCTCACCTCAGACTCCCAAAGCACTGAGATTACAGGCATGAGCCATTGTGCCCAGCCTAGATGTAATTTTTTTTTTTTTTTTTTTGAGACGGAGTTTCACTCATGTTACCCAGGCTGGAGTGCAATGGCGCGATCTCGGCTCACCGCAACCTCCACCTCCTGGGTTCAGGCAATTCTCCTGCCTCAACCTCCTGAGTAGCTGGGATTACAGGCACGCACCACCATGCCCAGCTAATGTTTTGTATTTTTAGTAGAGACGGGGTTTCACCATGTTGACCAGGATGGTCTCGATCTCTTGGCCTCGTGATCCACCCGCCTCGGCCTCCCAAAGTGCTGGGATTTCAGGCTTGAGCCACCGCGCCCGGCAGATGTAATTATTTTTATAGCTCTTTCATTATTTAAATATCAATATGGGGAGGAACTTCTGGGCTCCTGGCTATGCAGGCACAGCAGCTACATAGAAGATGTTGGGGGAGAGGCTAATGATGACAAGAAGCCAACCGCTAGATTCTAACTAGAGGGAGAAACAGAACTTTGCTTTGAGGTGCAGGCATCCCAGTCAGTTCAGTTGGAGTTGTTGAGTGGCATGGCAGGGATCTCTGGTACAGAACTGACCTGAAACAAGAAATTCACCTTTGATGCTGGTGCGAAAGTGGCTGTTTTCACTTGGCGTGGCTGTTCTGTGCAACTGAGTGGCCGCACTGAGGTGGCTTATGTCTCCAAGGACACTCCTATGTTGCTTTACCTCAACATTCACACAGCTTTGGAACAGATGCAGAGGCAAGCAGAAAAGGAAGAAGAGCGAGGCACCTGAGTAATGGTAGTGGGCCCCACTGATGTGGACAAGTCTACAGTGTGTCGCCTTCTGCTCAACTAGGCAGTGTGTTTGGGCCACCGTCCCACTTATGTGGAGCTGGATGTGAGCCAGGGCTCTGTGTCCATCTCTGATACCATGGGGGCCCTCTACCCTGGGCAGCCTAAAGATGTAGAAGGTTTCTCTATCCAGGCCCCTCTGGTGTATCATTTTGGTTCCACCACTCCTGTCACCAACATCAAGCTTTATAGTCAGATTACATCTTGTTTAGCAGAAGTGTTGAAACAAAGGTGTGGGGTGAATCAAAGGGCATCTGTGAGTGGCTGTGTCATTAACACCTGTGGCAGGGTCAAAGACTCTGGTTACCAGGCTCTGGTGCATGCAGCCTCACCATTTGAGGTGAATGTTGTTGTGGTGCTGGATCAAGAATGACTGTACAATGAACTGAAATGGGACTTCCCCCACTTTGTATGCACTGTGCTGCTCCCTAAATCTGGGGGTGTGATGGAGTGCTCCAAGGACTTCTGGTGGGAATGTAGGGATGAGCTTCTTATCTGTGAGTAGTTTTATGGATTCCAAGGCTGTTTCTCTCATGCCTTCAATGTCAGATTTTCAGATGTGAAAATCTACAAAGTTGGGGCACTGACCATCCCAAATTCCTATTTACCTTTGGGCATGTCTCAGGAGGACAATCAGCTCAAGCTAGTACCTGTCACTCCTGGCTGAGATATGGTGCACCATCTACTGAGTGTCAGCACTGCAGAGGGGAAGAGGAGGACCTGTTCAAGACAAGTGTAGCTGGCTTCACTGTGGTGACCAGTATGGACCCGGAGCATCAGGTGTTTCCTATTCTGTCTCTAGCCCCTGGCCCACTGCCTAAGAACTCCCTTCTCATCATGGATATCCAGTTCATGGATCTGAAGTAGAGATTAGCAGGATGCCTTGCTGCCTGGGACATAGAGATTTTCTGGCCCTCCTAGAGGCAGATGGACTGAGATAAGAGACTGCTGGGGCCACCTGACCAGTAAACTGTGGACTAGTAGAAAGAACATATTCTGCCTCTAAAAACAGGTAGTGGTAACCTGACTCTTCTAATCTTGAACCAAAAGGAAAACCATGAGACTGTCATTGGTTTCTTAGAGCACCTAAGATGCCACTTTGAATTCTCCAAGACCCTGAAGAATTGCATTCCTTTCACTATGTTACTATGTGGTTTTTAAACATCACTGCTTTATATTCCATATGTGGTAATTACTCAGTCATCTAGGATGAAAGCATGAATTAAAGGGACTCTTTCCAATAAAGTTCAAACTTTAAAAAATTAATTTTAATAAATATTTTTGCCATAAAAAATAAATATCAATATTAGTATTTTATGTCATCTATTTATGGTACATTGTAATAAATTAAATGCAATTATTTTATAGCCTCAGAAGTAAAATATAAAATGATGTTTGCAATTATATTCAGCTTCTAGAAATAAATATGTGAAAATATATAACATTATTGTTTAGTTTTAAAAAGATATTTTTCCTCTGATTATTATTTTCATTATTTTATTTATTTATTTATTTATTTATTTTTGAGAGGGAGTCTGGCTCTGTGGCCTAAGCTGGAGTGCAATGGCATGATCTCAGCTCACTGCAACCTCCGCCTACCAGGTTCAAGCGATTGAACCTCAGCCTCCTGAGTAGCTGGGATTAGAGGTGCCGGCCACCACGCCCAGCTAATTTTTTGTATTTTTAGTAGAGACAGGGTTTCCCCATGTTGGACAGGCTGGTCTTGAGAGGTGAGACTCCCTCCTCTCCTCCCACTTCCCGGCCTTCACCTCTCCTCCTCTCTGGATGGGAAGGAGGGTGAAAAAAAGAAACAAAATACCAAAGAGCTGGGAAAATGACTCCCTTTTCGGTTCCCAGCATCTCTGCTATCTGTAAGCCTTGAAAGAGTTGCAAATGAATGTTATTCCTAACATGCTGGAGCCCAGCACTGAGTCACACCCCCACGTATGCACAGCCCAGACTCCCTCCTGGAAACACTTCTGCCAACTAATAATTTACTGCCTTTGTCTTATGTCTGTAATCCCCCTCCTTCACCTGTTCCCACTCGCACTGCAAATGAACTAGCAAATCAATGAAGCCAAAAGATTGTAAGGTCGGACATCCAGTCAATGGACAATGACATAGTTTCACCTCAGTTTCTCCTTTGGTGTTGTTAAGCCTATAAAAGGGGAAAGAAGCTGCTTCTCGGGGAGCTCGGTGAATGAGGCTGTAGCCCCCTGTGCAGCTCCTAGCCAGATAAAAAGCCACTTCCTTCCTCAGTTCGGTGTTTGAGAGGTTTGTTTCTTACTGTTCCTGCTTCAGTCTCAAACCCCTGACCTTGGGTGATCCACCCACCTTTGCCTTCCAAACTGTTGCGATTACAGGCATGAGCCACCATGTCTGGCCTATTATTATTAAGGGACAAGGTTTTGCTCTGTCACACAGATTGGAGTGCAGTGGTGTGACCACAGCTCACTGCACTCTCTTACTCCTGAGGGACATGCTTCAGGAAGGCTTAGCCATCTGGCTAATTAAAAAAAAAAAATTGGTCAGGCACGGTAGCTCATGCCTGTAATCCCAGCACTTTGAGAGGTTGAGGCGGGCGGATCGTGAGGTCAGGAGATGGAGATCATCCTGGCTAACACAGTGAAACCTCATGTCTACTAAAAACGTAAAAAATGCTAGGCGTGGTGGCACACGCCTGTAGTCTCAGCTGCTCAGGAGGCTGAGGCAGGAGAATCACTTGAACCCAGGAGGTGGAAGTTGCAGTGAGCTGAGATCTCGATATTGCACTCCAGCCTGAGCAGCAGAGTGAGACTCCATCTCAAAAAAAAAAAAAAACAAAACTGTAGAGTAGAGCCTTGTCATGTTGCCTAGTCTGGTCTTGAACTTCTGGGCTCAAGCCATCCTGCTGTTTCAGCATCCCACAGGGCTAGGATTACAGGCATGAAGTCATAGTACCCAGCTCTTTTTTCCTGATTATCATAATATATGTTTATGATAGAAAAGTTGGAAATGCACAAAAATATAAAGAAGAGAATAAATATCATCTATAATTCTAATACCTTGAGAAATCTACTGCTAATATTTTTGAATAGTTTCTTCTGGTGTTTTTGTTATCCATAACATATAATTTAACTTTTTTTTAAAGACAGAGTCTCACTGTGTTGCCTAGGCTGGAGTGCAGTGGTATGATCTCAGCTCACTGCAACATCCTTCTCCTGGATTCAAGCAATTCTCATTCCTTAGCCTCCTGAGTAGTTGGGATTATGGGTACACACCATGCCCAGCTACTTTTTTTTTTTTTTTTTTTTTTGTATTTTTAGCAGAGATGGGGTTTCACCATGACGAATAGGCCGGTCTTAAACTCCTGACCTCAAGTGATCCGCCTCCTCAGGCTACCAAAATGCTGACATTACAGGTGTGAGCCACCGTGCTCAGTTCATATAATTTAATTTTTTAGGAAAAATAAAATCATATACATTTACAGTTTTGTATCTTGCTTTGGGTTTTCGTAGCTTGGGGGTATAAATTGGTACTATCTCTTTGAAGGGCAATTGAAAATATTCCTACAAATTTTAAATTGACACAAATTAAAAATCCCTTTGACCCAGAGATTCCATTTTTCCTCCATGTGTACACCCATGTGCATGAAAAGGTGGATGTATAAGAATGTTTTAATAGTAAAAGACTAAAAGCAAAGTAAATGTTTATTTGGTACATTTATACAATGAAATACTATTCAGCCATTAAAACAATGGAGATACTGTATAGATAAATAATTTCCAAGCTCAGTCATTAGAAAAAAAGAAAGGTGTAATACAATGTCATAGTATGTCCTCATCTGTGTATAAAAAAGAGGGGAGAGGGTTATAAAAGAGAGATTATATACTTTTGTCCTAATATGGGCACAAAATATTTCTGACATCAGACATAAGAAATCTGTAAAACTGGTGCTCTGGAGAAGTATATAGGGGTCTGGAATGTGAGGAAGGCTTAGCTTCCCCTTCATATATCCTTTTGAAATGTAGTTTTCCTTTTTTAACTGTGTGCATGTATATTACTTTTTTTAATCAGAAAAGATTAATATTTTTAATGACTTAAAATTCTAATATTCAGAAATATACTGTTAACACTTTCATATATGCTCTACCAGTCTTTTCCTTTGGCATTTTTTCACGCCAATAAACATTCTTTTAAAACTATATATATATATATATGTATGTATACACACACACACACACACACACACACACACACATACACACACACACACACACATGGTTTTGGGGTTTTTTTTGAGACAAAGTTTCACTCTGTCACCCAGGCTGGAGTGCAGTGGCATGATCTCAGCTCACTGCAACCTCCACCTTCAGGGTTCAAATAATTCTCCTGTCTCAGCCTCCTGAGTAGCTGGGACTACAGGCATATGCCACCATGCCTGGTTAATTTTTGTATTTTTAGTAGATATGGGGTCTCATCATATTCGTCAAGCCAGTCTCTAACTCCTGACCTAAGTTGATCCGCCCGCCTCTGTCTCCCAAAGTGCTGAGATTACAGGTGTGAGCCACCGCACCCAGGCTAAAATCATATTTTGAATAGCTATAAATATTTACATACACATATGTGCATGTGTGTGCATCATTTATGTTGTTTCTGTACTTTTTTTTCCTTTTTGGCTACTAGAAATAATAAAGTTGTAGGCTGGGCACCGTGGCTCACGTCTGTAATCCCAGCACTTTGGGAGGTTGAGATGGGCAGATCACCTGAGATCAGGAGTTTGAGACCAGCCTGGCCAACATAGTGAAACCCTGTCTCTACTAAAAATGCAAAAAATTAGCTGGGCATGGCGGTGCACACCTGTAATCCTACCTACTCAGGAGACTGAGGCAGGAGAATCACTTTAACCCGAGAGATGAAGGATGCAGTGAGCTGAGATTGTGCCACTGCACATCAGCCTGGGTGACAGCGTGAAACTCCATCTAAAAAGAAAAGAAAAGAAATAAAATTGTAATATATATTTTTGTATGATTTCAATTCTATTAATTTATTTAATTCCAGGCCAGGGGCAGTGGCTCACACCTGTAATCCTAGCACTTCAGGAGGACAAGGCAGGTGGATCATCTGAGGTCAGGAGTTCAAGACCAGCCTGGCCAACATAGTGAAACTTGTCTCTACTAAAAATACAAAAATTAGCTGGACACAGTGGCATGCCTGTAGTCCCAGCTACTCGGGAGGCTGAGGTAGGAGGATTGCTTGAACTCAGGCGGTGGAGGTCGCAGTGAGCAGAGATTGCACAACTGCACTCCAGTCTGGGTGACAGAGCAAGACTTCATCTTCAAAATAAATAAATAAATATTTAATTCTATTTTAGTATTTTCTCAGGATAATTTCCTTAAAGTAAAATTACTGGGAATTAAGGATCTTCATATACGGTAGAATTATATTCTAGAGTGTTTATGCCAATTTACTATCCCAGTTGTTTAAGAGACTATCTATTTATCTACTCACTATAAGGTTGATTTTCCAAAATGAAAATCTCTTTGCTATACTTTTTGAATATAAAAATAACACATGCTAAATATATAAGTTCAGAAAACAGAGGAAATTTAGGTCCAGTGAGGTGACTCATGCCTGTAATCCCAGCACTTTGGGAGGCAAAGGTGGGTGGATTACTTGAGTCCAGGAGTGGGAGATCACCTTGGGCAGCATGGCAAAACCCCATCTCCACCCAAAATACAAAATTACTTCAGCGTGAGCTGAGTAGCTGCACACCTGTGGTCCCAGCTACTCAGGAGGCAGCAGTGAAAGGATCACTTGAGCCTGGGAGGCAGAGGTTTCAGTGAGCTGAGATGGTGCCGTTGCACTCCAGCCTGGGTGATAGAGTGAGATCCTGTCTGAAAAACAAAACAGGAAATTTGTGGAAAGGAAAATAAAAAGGCCAGATGCAGTGGCTCATGCCTGTAATCCCAGCACTTTGGGAAGCTGATGGGGGTGGATCATTTGAGGTCCAGAGTTCGACACAAGCCTGGCCAACATGGTGAAAACTTGGCTCTACTAAAAATACAAAAATTAGCCAGATGTGGTGGTGGGCGCCCATAGTCCCAGTTATTAGGGAGGCTGAGGCAGGAGAATCGCCTGAAACCAGGAGGTGGAGGTTGCAGTGAGCTGAGATCAAGCCACAGCACTCCAGTCTGAGTGACAGAGTGAGACCCTGTCTAAAAAATTAAAAGAAAAGTGCTTGCTTCGGCAGCACATATACTAAAATTGGAACGATACAGAGAAGATTAGCATGGCCCCTGCACAAGGATGACACACAAATTCATGGAGCGTTCCATATTTAAAAAAAAAAATTAAAAGAAAAAAAGGAAAATAAAAAGCATTATCCAGAAATACTCATTGTTGTTTTTTTCTTTTATTTTGTTTTTTGAAACAGGGTCTCACTCTGTCGCCCAGGATGGAGTGCAGTAACATGATCATTGCTCTCTGAAACCTAGTCCTCCTGGGCTCAGATAATCCTCCCAGCTCAGCCTTCCAGACAGATGGAACCACAGGCTACAGGCACATGCTAGCATGCCCAGCTAATTTTTTGTAGAGATGGGGTTTTGCCATGTTACCCAGGCTGGTCTGAAACTCCTGGGCTCAAGCAATCTATCTGCCTTGGCCTCCCAAAGTGCTGGGATTACAGGAGTGAGCCACCTTACCCAGCACGTATTCACTAAAGTATGTATCCAAACTTTTTCCTAGTTTATATTAACCTGATTTTGTTGAGCTTAATGTACTTTGTGTTTCTTTCTAAGCCAATAGGTAACATGGAAGTATTGTATCTTTTAATACATCATAATCTATTATAAGGATATAAAATGGATATCTCAAATTGGGTCCTGGGGAAAGCAGATTCTGAGAGGAAGTGCCCTTGGTATCAAGATCTGTGGAGAAGAGGGGAAGGAAGCAGAATTGAACAGACAGAGAAGTTATGTTGGATTGTAAGTCCAATGTTAGCCTCAGCTGACCTCACAGAAAATTCTGGAACAGAAATGGTTCCTCAAAATTCTCCCAAATTGGGGGTGATCAGGTCTTTTTAAATTTAAATTTAAATTTTATTTTAGAGACAGTCTTGCTCTGTTATACAGGCCAGGGAGCAGTGGTGTGATCTTGGCTCAATGCAACCTCTGCCTCCCAGGCTCAAGCAATTCTTGTGCCTCAGCCTTCTGAGTGGCTGGGATTACAGACGTGCGCCATCACGCCCAGCTACTTTTTGTATTTTTAGCAGAGATGGGATTTCGACATGTTGGCCAGGCTTGTCTCAAAC